CGCGGTCGCCGGTGCATAGGACGTAGGTGCACGGACCAAAACCCCCACCACGCTGACGTGCAGCGTACCACTCACGGAGCTGCTGAAGGGGGGGGATGTTCCGAGAACGCTGCTGGCGCTGACCACCACCGGAGCCGCTCCGGTGGGTAGCGCCACCCCGACTAGCTCCACCTCCTCCGCCACCGCCTCCTCCACCTCCGCCACCACCGCCGCCTCCGCTCCCACCGCTACCGCCTCCGCCGCCTCCGCCTCCACTGCTGCCACCGACACCTCCACCCCCGCCACCACTCCCACCGCCACCCCCACTCCCTCCGCCGCCTCCACCGCTGCCTCCACCACCCCCGCTAGCTCCTCCCGCGCCCCTGCCCCCCTTGCCCTTGCCAGAGCGGCGTCTCCCGCTAGGGGCAGACGCCGCACCGACCGACTCAAGACCAACGAGGTCGGCCGCAGCAGCAGAGGCGACAGAGGGCGAAAGGGGGGAAGGGGAACACCGCTGAAAGATGGGGGTGCGAGGGTCACCATGAGAGGCTCCTACACCGACTATGCTCTTTTCCGCTGCTAAGAGGGCCTTCTCGAGGAGGTCAACAGTGAGACTAGTGGGACAGACTGAGAGGAAGTGGTCTCTGACTACACGAAGGGAGTCAGGGAGGCGGGTGACTATATAATAGAGAGTGATGTACATGGGGGGGGGGGGGGTTCTTGGGGCGGAACTCAGCAGGAAGCGCAGTGCGGTAGCGAGTGTCACTAGTGCGGAGGTGCATAATGAGGCCAGCAACTGTGGGAAAGGCAGCAAGGTCAGGGAAGAGGTATGGTAGCAAGAGGCGGCTTAGTGCAGCACTGGCAGGGGAAGAGTAGCGCGCAACTACAGCGTCGTACAAGTTCGGAGCACTCTTGTACTAATCAAAGTGTGTGCGCTCAGTGGTAGGCAGGTGGCGACGCACAACAAGACGTGCAGCAGCATCGCGAGTGGCCCACTGTGAGGGAACAGTGGCGTCGGCATCGGCAGCAGGGGCAGGGGAGGCACCAGAGGTGAGGTCAAAGAGGGAGAGACCGTCTGCCCTATCGCACTGTAGGAAAAGCTGCAGGTCATCTACCCAGACGTCAAAGTCAATGGCCCGACCCTCAGCGTCAAAAGTGAGAACAATGGGGGTAGCCATGAGAGCAGTAGACTAGCAGCGCTTACTGTAGGGCAGGGGCAGTGTAGTGACAGAGGCGCTGCTCTCACCATACTGGGCGATTCGGGCAGCTCGGCAGCACACCAGCTCGGCAACATGGCGGCTCGGGCGACTCGGGCGGCTCGGCAGCAACAGCGGCTCGGCGGCACCCACGGCTCGGCTCCTCGGCTGCTCCGGCGGCTCGGGCGGCTCGGGCGGCTCGGGCAGAACAGGCGGCTCGGGCTGCTTAGTGACGCGGGCGGCTCGACTGCGTAGGGTGGCAGGGCCGCAGGTAGGGCGGCAGGTAGGGCGGCGGGGCCGCAGGTAGGGCGGCGGGGCTGCTGGTAAGGCGGCGGGGCTGCAGGTAGGGCGGCGGGGCCGCTGGTAGGGCGGCGGGGCCGCTGGTAGGGCGGCGGGGCCGCAGGTAGGGCGGCGGGGCCGCAGGTAGGGCGGCGGGGCAGGGCCGTAGGTAGGGCGACGGGGCCGGGTCGAAGGTAGGGCGACGGGGCCGGTACGCAGGTAGGGCGACGGGGCCGAGGCCGGGGCGCAGGTAGGGCAACGGGGCCTGGGTCGGAGGTGGGGCGACGGGGCCGGGGTCGCAAGTAGGGCGACGGGGCCGGGGCCGGGGCGCAGGTAGGGCGACGGGGCTAGGGTCGGGGCCGCAGGTATGGCGGCGGGGGCAAGGTCGCTGTTGGGGCGACGGGGCCGGGGTCGCAGGTAGGGCGACGGGGCCGTGGCGCAGGTAGGGCAACGGGGTCGGGGCGCAGGTAGGGCGACGGGGTCGGGGCGCAGGTAGGGCGACGGGGCCAAGGCGCAGGTAGGGCGACGGGGCCGGGGCCGTAGGTAGGGCGACGGGGTCGCTAGGGCGACGAATCAGGGGCCGCTAAGGCGGCGCGACGTGACCGCTAGGGCGGCTGGACGAAGTCAGAGAGGGGAGCGCGACTCGGGCTGAGCGCGCTCCGGGCAGGAAAAAAAAAACTTTCAACTTGGTGGGCCCTAGGCACAGTTCCCACGAGGGAACCTGCTCGATACCATGAGAAAACTGAAACGAGAATAAGTGCACTAAGGAATGGAAGTGGTACAAATATGCAATCCTAGAAATGTGTACCCCATATAGGCTACCCCACTACAGCCTACACAACATTACAATTTGACAAGCTCCGCTATCGATGAGAATCTTGACTGGAACTCCACGAAGCTTCCCTAGAAGCACGACTGGACGATCAACAGTGTCTACCTTGTTCGGCGTAGGTGACTGCTCTAAGGCCGTCTCCTCTACGTTGGTAGACGTGGCGGGTTCGGAAGCGTCCACACCAGTTAGCGACCCGCTATCTACTGGCGATTTTGGTTTCCCTACCGCCGCTCCTTAAGCTGTGGGCAGTCACGCTTCATGTGTCCCGGCTTTTTGCAGTAGTGACAGTTCCCCCTAAATCCCGTTTTTTGTGAGCCGTCACTATTAACTGCACCAATCTCCATGGGCGATGGTCCGTCCCTCGATCGAGCATCGTTGATTGGTCTGTTGTATCCCCTATCGTGATCGTCACGACCCCGTCAGCTTCGTACTGCGTCGTCGCGTTCTGCGGCTGCGACAACTGACTCAAAGGTGGGCAACCTGTGAATCGCTATAACTTCCGCTATGTCTGACTTCAACCCTTCGAGGTAGCAATCGCGCATCTCTGCTTCCGTGATGTCATCTATTTCGTTGCAGATGCTCAAGAACCGTCGTGAGTACTCCTGGACGTTTCCTATCTGTCGCAAATGACGCAGACGCTTCCTAGCAGCTCTAGAGGCATTCACCAAGTCGAACCTACTTTTCAGCGCCGCTTCAAATCCTTCACATATCATCGGAACCGTGGTAACACCCAAAGCTAAACTCCTTAAGCTCGAAGTTGCAGCAGCATGCCCCACGCCCTGTTGATGCTCGTCTGTCTGAGCCCTTCTTACAGCAGTTTGCGTGAGTTGGCACTACCACTCCAAGGCCGAGCCCCTCAGCAGCGTAACGGAGTACTCGATCCGCTGCTGCGCGTCTGCCTCTTGCACCCCGCTCGCGGCGAAGTAGTTGTTCAGCATGAAGAGCCACGTCCGCATGTTCGCGTCGCGTTGACTTGGGTCGAACGACTCGGGTTTCTGCGGCTTGAGCGCGCTTCCGCGCCAGTCGACGTGTTGGGTGCAGGAGATGGTGCGGCATGACCATGAGAAATTGACGCGAATTCACGAAGCTGTTGCATTTCACCTCGTACCTGACGATTTTCCAGCGTCAATGCTTCGAGTTGGCGCATGAGTTGAGCAAGCGCATTGCCCATGTCGTTGGGGAGAGCATTCATGGTCTCGTCCATGTTGGCTCGACGACTCCAAGTCTGCAAGTCGGCACCGCGGGACGATGACGTTGTAGTCTCGTCGCCGACGGTCGCTCGTTGGAAGTCGCTCCCCACGAAGGCTCTGATACCAAGTGTTAGGCCCGACAGCCTAAGTCCGCTAAAGATTAGCGATGTCGACTAAGTCGAGGATGAAAATGCGGCGGAAGACTTTGGCGAAATAGGCGAAAGTGTTACTAAGTAATTGAAGAGTTGAAGGCAGGCCCTCAGATTGCATGAATTTTGCCCTGATTTTTCCTTTGAACCCTCATTTTCAGGGTCTTTTTAGGTCCCAACCCTTATGAGATTTTTTTTTTTTAATGCCTACTCTGTTTTTTCAGCTAACTTTCGTGTACCAGGCCTAAAATTTCAGCCTACTTTTGCTAGGGGACCCTGATTCGAATCATACATTAGTGGGGCCATCCTTGTTAGCGAAATTGCCTAGATTCGATGAATCTGGCAAAAAATTCGCCCAAAATTTTCCCCGTCTCCGTCAATCACATGAAACAGCAACTTAGGGTGTATTCCTGGCCCTTGTGTCATCCGACTTTGGGCCTTCCGAAAATGTGGGAGGACACGAGGCGAAATGGTTCGCCTCGGGTCAACGACCACATTTTCGGCTCGATTCCAAGATTGTGTCCAGGTGAAAGTAACCCTATGTCGTCACCTCTAAACTGACGCTGATTGGTCTTGGAAATGTTACGACTGACAACTAGCGATTGTTTTACCCACCATCCCAAACGGCCCTTCGACCCCAACATTGACAGTCAACCGCCAATGTTAGATGGTGCATTTGACATCACAGCCACTCCTTCGAATTCACGCACCCTTTGATTTCACTCACACCTGCTTTAGATCCACTCGTAAAAATTCAGTAGAGTCGAATTTCTCTCCCAGCCACCAGTTCGAAATGACTCTGCCAATCTACCATGGCAGATCTGAGCATGTTTGGCGTGGAAACCACAGATCGAAGACACACCACTCCTTGCAATTTCACCGTGGCGGATCTGAGCGCGTTTGGCGCGGAAATGCTAGATCATAGACTCGCCACTACTTCGATTCTCCCTTCCAATGCTGCTCTTCATGTGCACGTTATGTACAAATTACAGCAATCTAGAGCGCCATTGAATCAGGCTTACGCTTAACTCCCTCGCCTTCAGCTTCTTCCTTGTTCGTGCTCCAAGGCTCTTCCATCATGGCTCCTAAGCGCAAGTACAGTAAGGTGTCAAAGCAGGTGGCCGACTCTGAGCCCGAGGTCCCTATGCAGGACCCCCCCTACGTCGTTTGGATGAGGCGCCGGCAGGAGCTCAGCGACCGTCGTGCTCGCATCCGGAACGAGCTTCAGGAGACCAGTGCTGGCGAGCCTTTTGGGGATCCCAACAACAACACTTGCATCGAACCTGAAACCGAAGGCTTGGCGAGCTCCGACAGTGAGCCTGAGGAGTTTTAGACGTACGAGAGCAGCGACAGTGTGGCGGATTCCGACGCCTCGATGGATTCTCCCGAAAGCAACAAGGAGCCCGTCCCTGACGCCACCGAGCTCGACGCAGAGACCCCTAGCGCAAGCGTGGGGAATGCCAACAAGAAGCAGAAGGGGAAGGCCGTGAAGCAGAAGAAGAAGCGTAAGGTGTGGACCGAGGACGAAATGACCGATCTGGCCACTGCTCGATGGTTCACACGCGAGGATTTGAAGTCGATGCAAGGCAAGCAAGGATCGCAGTATTGTAAGAAGCTCCGTAGGCATCTCTGTAAGGCGAATCCGAACAGGACACGCAAGTCGGGAGCAATGAAGCAGCAGTGGAAGCGGCTCGAGAGGGAGTATAAGGAGATTTGCGAGGCGTTGGCAATGTCGGGTGGCGGAAACATCGCCCGCCCGGGATGGTTCGGCTACATGGAAGAACTACGCGCAGGTACCGCCGCGGTGAACCCCCATGTGGTCGACGGTGGAGGCGCGGGCGAGGACCACGCTGATCCTCTGGCAAACCCTATGCCGCCAGCCCCTGCACCTGCCACACCCATGTCGCCTCCTCCTCAAGTTGGGCCCTCAGGTGAGGCTGTCCATCCCATCTGAAAGTACACCTCTTTCGTTTCTCTACCTCTCTCATTATGCTCGTACCTCCTCTCCGTCTGATTCTCACATTCAATTTTATTCGTTCCATATCTCTCTTGCTCTGACACAACTGCTCGATCTGACCACTGTCATTTTGCGCGTATTTAGCGCTCCATTCTCTGTTTGTGCGTATGTTGGTCTCAGCCGTACACCCATTCTCAGTATTTGCGTTTCATTCACTCTAACAGTGCTCCCACTCTCTGTTCTTGCGTTCTTAGGTCACTGTACATGCTCCCACTCTCTGCTTTTTTACTTTCCTTCGCTCTAACCGTGTACCTACTCTCTGCTTTTTGATTTCCAACGCTCTAACCGTGCTCCCACTCTCTGTCCTTGCGTTGGTAGGTCACTGTACGTGCTCCCACTCTCTGGTTTTTTACTTTCCTTCGCTCTAACCGTGTACCTACTCTCTGCTTTTTGATTTCCAGCGCTCTAACCGTGCTCCCACTCTCTGTCCTTGCGTATGTAGGTCACTGTACGTGCTCCCACTCTCTGGTACTTTACTTTCCTTCGCTCTAACCGTGTACCTACTCTCTGCTTTTTAATTTCCAGCGCTCTAACCGTGCTCCCACTCTCTGTCCTTGCGTTTGTAGGTCACTGTACGTGCTCCCACTCTCTGGTTTTACTTTCCTTCGCTCTAACCGTGTACCCACTCTCTGTTTTTAATTTACAGCGCTCTAACCGTGCTCCCACTCTCTGTCCTTGCGTTTGTAGGTCTCTGTACGTGCTCCAACTCTCTGTGTGTATGTGGCGCTCTGCCCGTGAACCCACTGTCTGTTTATGCGTTTCCTCTCAGGATCTGATCTCTTGCATCTAGTTCTGTGTAGCGCTGTGCCTATGCATGACAATTGAAGTACACAACATACACTACACCAAAGCTGCACCTATGTTTCTTCCTAACACGATGTCTAACCCCATCCACAGGTCTTACGCCAGCACAAAAGGCGGACCACACCACACCTGTGCGGAAGAGGCGGGTGTCCGAGAGTGCTACCATCTGCGGAGCGCAGCTCATTGCGGACGCATTGAAAGAGTGCAGTCAGGAAGGCCTGGCCAAGCTGGACGCGCTGACCCGCTTGATCATGAGTGCGGTAGCGTCGGTGAGCGCGCCTCCTGAGGCGGCTGATCCGCCGGCTGTAACGGCGAGCGCGCCTCCTGAGACGGCAGATCCGCCTCCTGAGACACCAAACGCGTCTACACCGGCAGAAAGCTCGCCTATGATCATGGATCCTACGGGGCAGTAGGGGGCAGCTGGTGGCGCCTCAGGTATGCCTTCCGCAAGCACTTCCCGAAGTACCTTCTCCTTTTCTGCAAATCCTTAGCTGTTGCTCGCTGCAAAATCGGCCATTTGAAACGAGCCATCACTCCTCGCATCCACCAACCATTGCTCCCGCTGCCATGCCTTCTCCCTTTGTCTTTCTTCTTGCTGCGCAGGCGGTGATGCATCATCTTGGTGATCAGATTGTGCAATATGATGATGCACCCGACGCCGGCACATACACGACCAAGACGGCATTCGTGCCTCCTCCCGAAGAGGCGCCAACGGCCTTTGAGCGCGCCGATACACCTCTCCACCGGCATCCTTGTGGCGGACTGCACGTAGTTGAATAGCTGTTCCCACCCTTTGAAGAGTCTCTTGCTAGGGGCATGTAGGGGCGTCAAACAGTAAGGGCGTAGTGGGTACGCAGCATCTCCCAATAGCTGATAGTCACATAGGTCCCCCTTCTCTAGCCGTTCGTACAGCTTGCTCTTGATGAACACGCGGTGATCATGTACTGCTCCAGGATACCCGACCATGTAATCCCATATTACCCCCCTTGCGTCGCACGTGCAACTGCACCGAGTAGTGGGACTTGAGGTTGTAGTATTCCATGCGATGATTCTCCATACCGCGCACGGGAATATGAGTCCCATCCACGGCCCCCACCACGTTGGGGACTCCCTTGATTTTCTTGAACTCTGCAGCCATGCCTGGAAGTTCCTCCGGTGATGGGAACACAACCCAATCTGCCTTGAAAAGCCTTGGAAAATGCACAAGGAAGGCATCAACCAGCTTGTGACATTTTGTCTTGTGCACACCAAAAAAAATAGCCATGTCAACGTAAGACAACGCCGATGCAAAGTACTTGATGGGAATTAAAACACATAGCTGCAGAGGAATGTGGTACTTGTGCACAAACGGATCGAAGACGCCGGCCATGCCTTCCGCAATCATGAGCATAGTCTCCTTGCCGATCCGGAAGACAACCTGGAATTCGTGCTCCGACATGAGTTCAGTGTCCGACACCCATTCGAACATACGATCCTGTCGCCTCCTCTTCCGCGTGAGAGATCGCTCCTTGTGATATTCCTCATCTTCACCTCCTTCTACGCTGCCATTGTCCACCAAAGTCAGCCATGACTGGGTGGCGGTTGCAGCAGAGTGAAGGAGAGTTTCGTTGAAGAAGGTGTGCCAAAGCTGGACTAAGCACCTAAGAAGGGAGAGCTGCTGAGAGGTGAGCATGATGTTGATTGGCAAAATTGGAGTTGTTTTTGTGTTTCTGTTTGCCTTTCATATATACAAAAGCTGGGATGATGTTGTGGCACTTGTGGAACTGCTTCTGTGCATTCCAACCTTCTGGTATCGAGGCCTTGAGCAACTGGAGCTTGCGTTCGTACAAATTGGGGGTGGCAGGCAGACGTCAAGTACGTGGGGGGGAATTGGGGAAATTGACGGCCGAATCGACTGCGATCGTGAAAATGTCGCACGTGCAAACCCTATTCGATCTTAGGGCTTGAACGTGCTGTCGTAACATTTTCGTTGGGTTGCAATGCGACATTTGTGCCGTTCCGAGTCGGAACACCCGAAGTCGAGTCGGAAAACCCGCGGCTCGGGAAAAACAATTCGGATGACACAAAGTGTTGTTGGTACAAAGTCCAGGAATGCGCCCTTGTTTCCTACACCCCCCTTATCTACATCTTGTCAGACTCGCCTCAGACACCATTTGTTTGGCGAAGTGCGAGACAGAAAGCGTGGGGTGACGTGGCATTGCGCAATGCTCCCGGAAGGTTGTTGAGGAACATTCCCGACTGTTGCTTGTGAGCGCTTGTCTGATAACGTGACAAAACAAAGACCTTTAGCACACGTGATTGCCTAACCTTGACCACCATCGCTGCACCACCACTGTCTCCAGAGACCTTTAGCACACGCGATTGCCTAACCTGGACCACCATTGCTGCACCACCACTGTCTCCTGTCAAACATTATATATGTTCTGCTTGTGTAGGCTACAGTAGGTTAGCCTATAGGGGGTACACAATTCTAGGGTTTCCTACTTGTACTCATTTCACTGCTAGTTCATTCATTCCTGTTCGCTTATTCTCACATGGTATCGAGCAGGTTCCCCTGTGGGAACTGTTCGTAGGACCCACCACCGCTACCTCTTAACCTTTTTTTTTTTCCTGCCCGGAGCGCGCTCCGGGCCCTAGTCCTTTTTTTTTTTCGATCTGCCCTAGTGCTCTGAAGGCCGCCCGCCCTAGCGCCCGAGCGCCGCCGCCCTTGCGCCCTGACGGCCGCCCGCCCTAGTGCCCTGACGGCCGCCCGCTCTAGCGCCCGAACGCCGCCCGCCCTAGCGCCCTGACGGCCGCCCGCCCTAGCGCCCGAGCGCCGCCCGCCCTAGCGCCCGAGCGCCGCCCGCCCTAGCGCCCTGACGGCCGCCCGCCCTAGCGCCCGAGCGCCGCCCGCCCTAGCGCCCTGACGGCCGCCCGCCCTAGCGCCCGTGCGCCGCTCGCCCTAGCGCCCTGTCGGCCGCCCGCCCTAGCACCCGAGCGCCACCCGCCCTAGCGCCCGAGCGCAGCCCGCCCTAGCGCCCTGACTGCCGCCCGCCCTAGCGCCCGTGCGCCGCTCGCCCTAGCGCCCGAGCGCCGCCCGCCCTTGCGCCCTGACGGCCGCCCGCCCTGACGCCTGAGCGCCGCCCGCCCTAGCGCCCTGACGGCCGCCCGCCCTGACGCCTGAGCGCCGCCCGCTCTAGCGCTCTGACGACCGCCCGCCCTGACGCCTGAGCGCCGCCCGTCGTCGCCCCAGCGCCCTAGTGCCCGACGCCCGCGAGCCGCCCTTCGCAGCCGCCCGTGAGCTGCCTGTACGCCGCCCGCCGAGCCGCCCGTGCACCCGCCCAGCGTGAGCCGCCCACGACCGCCCAGGCTGCCGTCCCCTTCTACCGGCCCCGCAACTGCACCTGCTGGCCCCGCCGCTGCACCTACCGGCCCCCACCACCCACCCCCCCTTTTCCCGTCGCCTGTCGAGGCGACCTGAGGGGACCTGAGAGGCCAGCAGAGGGGTGGCAGGTGTGTGGCCTCCCCTGCTTCTCCTCCTCCTTCATCGCTCACCTGCAGCAGCCGAGCCGCCCCACTGCCGAGCCGCCCTGCACCCGAGCCGCCCAGCAGCCGAACCGCCCTGCCGCCGAGCCACCGGGTCGCTGAGCTGCTGAGCTGCAGTTGCTGCCGAGCCGCCCTGCCGCCGAGCCGCCGAGTCACCGAGCTGCTGAGCTGCAGTTGCTGCCGAGCCGCCTTGCCGCCGAGCCGCCCGAGTCGCCCGAGCCGCCGAGCCGCCGAGCTGCCGAGCCGCTGAGTCGCCGAGCCTACTCTTCCCACCACTGGTGAGCTCTTGCCCTGCTAGCACGCTGCGCGTCGCCTGCTTGCCTGCCTGCCTGCCTTTTGGCTTGCCTGGCTGCCTGCCTTCCTGCTGCTAGTCCTGCTCCTGCTTCTACTTGCGGAGCCAGATGCAGCCCCAGCGACGCCTGCGTGAGTCCCTCACGCCCCAGCAGCTGCGTGAGTGGTACGGTGGTTGGGGCTGTAGGGGTGGCGACGCTACTCCTACTTCCACTCCTGCTGCTTCTACTCGTGGTGGCGGCCAGATGCAGCTCCCGCGACCCTCTCGCGTGTCTCTCACGCCTCGCCAGCTTCGTGAGTGGTACGCTCAGGGGGGAGGGTCTCTCAGTGCTGTTCGCTGCTCTTACGTGATTCGCACTGGTACTCGGACTGGTCAGCCTTGTGGGACACGTAGTCATACACAGTCCCGCTGCTTCGCCCGTCTGAGCGACGCCTGGCGTACCGTGTTTGGCGACGAGGCTGAGCTTCCCGACTGGGTGGAGTTGCTTAGGCAGAGGGTAGATATATATGCTCTTGACTATGATGCTATTCTCACTGCCATGTATGCATTGCCTACTAGTGCTGACCATGCCGGTCACCTGTGCGTCCCGCCTGACCCAGGTATAGGACCTGCTGCTCTAGCTACTGGTGAGGCTGCTGCTCTGGGTGCTAGTGAGTCTCCTGCTCCAGGTACAGGTGCGGCTGCTGCTCTAGGTGCTAGTGAGTCTGCTTCCTCAGGTGCGGGTGAGGCTGCGCTCTCAGGTACCGAGTTGGCTTCGGCCTCCCTCACCTTTACACTTGACTCTGGGGCTTCTCGCTCCTTCTTTCGGGACCGCACCACACTCACGCCGCTTGGTCGGCCGGTTGCTGTCTCCCTGGCTGACCCCTCTGGGGGTCCTGTCCTCGCTCACTTCTCCACTGTCCTCCCGTGTCCGGCTGCCCCCTCGGGCACCCTGTCTGGCCTGTATCTCCCCTCGTTCTCGACGAACTTGGTGAGTGGTGCAGACCTACAGGATGCGGGGGTTCACCAGTTCACTCCTGCGAGTCAGCGGGTGACCCACTGCACGGACGCACGCACAGGCCGGCACCTGGCCACGTTCTCGCGTCGGCCGGGGTCGAGCCTCTACACCCTGACCACTGAGTCTCCTCCTGTCCCCGTGTCCGGTCAGGTAGCAGCGTCGGGTCAGGTGTTTGCTGCTGCGTCCAGGTCTGGTCCTGAGTCTGCCCCCTGTTCGTGTCGCCTCCTGTCTCACGAGACTCTTCTGTGGCACCACCGTCTAGGCCACCCCTCCTTGCCCCGTCTTCGGGGCATGGCTTCCCGTGTCCTTGTCTCTGGTCTTCCCCAGTCTCTCCCTCCCCTTCCTTCGGGACCAGGACCTTCCTGTGTCCCCTGTGTCGAGGGGCGCCTCAGGGCTGCTCCTCACTCCTCCCAGTTTCCCCCGACAGAGGCTCCTCTGCAGACGCTTCACATGGACGTGTGGGGCCCGGCCCCCGTCCGTGGGCAGGGTCACGAGCGCTACTTCCTGTTGGTGGTTGACGACTACTCGCGTTACACCTCAGTCTTCCCCTTGCGCAGCAAGGGTGCTGTCACTGAGGTGCTGATCGACTGGATCCGCGA